ACCTGCAAGCGGAGAGGGCATTCAACCAGAACCCGCACCTCCGTCCGCTCAACAGGGCACCGACTATACACCCACACCGATCCTGGCCAGGCCCATCCTGGGCCCAGGATCGGCCTGGCCAGGATCTTTGAAGATGTGCCCTCCGATCAATCCCTCTCGCCAGCCCCTCCAGCAGCTCGTAATCATCCGACTCTTCTGGAATCCTCCCACAACGTTAGAGGAGTACAATCGGGCCTCGGGTACGCCGAATCGCCGGGTGCATCGGAGATGCGGCGAGATCCTCCGAAGCCACCTACGCTGGCCAGATTCGGGAGGCCGGGGTGCTTGTCCGGGGGGGTAGGATGGATGGTTGAGGAGGAGCGAGCGATTCAGAACAAGGATGCGGAGAGGGGAGGGGGAAGGAGGCTAAAACGCCCACGCTGACGCTGCACACGATCGCAAAAGCGAGCAAGGAGCCGCACGCATGCGGCCTTGTATCGGTTCTCCGCCTGCTCCGCTCTGTAAAGCTCCTGCGGCTGCGGTCACATCCACTCCTCCTGCTACTCCTCCATCCTCCTGCTCCTCCTCCTCTAGCCCCATCCCTCCCCCTTGTCCTCCTCCTCCCTGATCATCCTTCTGCTGATTCTCAAACTTCAAAGCTCCTCTTCCTCCTCCTCCTCCTCCTCCACCTCCTCCTCCTCGTGCTTCTCCTCGTCATTCACGTCCACATCCAGACACTGCTCATCCTGCTTCCTCCACCTCCTCCGAATCCAGCCTTTGCCATGGTTGACACCTTTCTCCTGTCGCACCGCCAGACGTGTCGGCAGGGTGGGCCAGACTTGTCGCCTGAGACTCCCGCACCACGCATGAGTCTGACGCTAGACATTCGCAACAGCTCCTCCAATGGAGGGTGGCCGCGTTCCAAATGGAGCTCTAGCCTCAGCGCAGCTCACGTGAGTGATGTTGTTCAGCCTTGGTGCAGAGGCCCCCCATATGAGCCACACCGCGGCGAGTGGCGCACGCGCGTGTCACGTACGCACACTAGCTCAAACTGGCGAAACTGTGTCACGAGCTGCGGCAAGCGATAATCAGGTCCCCTCGAACAGGATACAACAACATCTAGCCCACATGGCCTCAGCCACGTTGCAAACCACTTCACATCCGCGATAGCGTTGCGTCTGGCTCTCGCCTGCTGCTTCTTCGCCTTCTCGAGCGTCGCCTCAGGGCCTGCTGTTATGTCACATATATAAGTACATACCCGTCTGCGAGATATTCACCAGGAAATCAATGAGCATATGGCATACCTTTGATAAGGCAGTCGACAGCCACCACACTAGCATCAACCCATCCTCCTCCCCCTCCTCCTGCTCCTCCTCCATTCTTCCCCCCTCCTGGTGCTCGCCCTCGTCCTCCCGATCTGGCTCTTCCAACTGGTTTCCAGTGGGTTCTCGGCCGATCGTGCCAGCCACCAGGGACGACCGGGAAAGCCGCCAAAGATGCAGGGATCAGGCAGTCAGCCCAAGATGGCCCCAAGATGGTCTCCAAGACGGCCAAGATTGCGTCCTAGACGCCTCCAAGACAGCCAGGATGGCCCCAAGACGGCCCAAGATGCCTTCCAGACGCCCCAAGAAGCTCCCAAGACGCCCCAAGAGGGCTCCAAGAGGGCCTCCAGAAGGCCAAGAGCATGTGTTCCTCATTGATGGTTCACTGATTGTAGCGTTCTTCTCTTATCGGGCTTCAGACGGCACAACAAGGCCCCATAGATATCGAAGATCGCCCTAGGATTGCCCAAGAGGCCCCAAAGATGCCCGCAAGACGGCCCAAGAAAGCGCAAAGGCAGCCCGCGAGGCCCCGAAGAGGCCCCCGAGACGGCCCCACAGACCTCCAAAGGCGTCCAAAAGCGCCCGAAGAGGAGCCCACGACTGCCCAGAGAGGCCCCCAAGGGGGTCCACAACGGCTGCGGGAACGTAAGGTCCGATAGCCTGGCCCGGCGTCTGGCCGCACGGTCGCTTCCAGAACTCAGGCGGCGGGGGTGGTTCGCAGCAGGCCTCTCCGATCCGCCGCCCCATGAGTTTAGCACAGGGCCCATGGCATGCGAAGAAGTCCCCCCTGGGGGCCTCCTCCTCCTCCTTCTCCTCGTCCCTCTACTCCTCCTTTCCCTTGCTCTCCCAGGTGTTCCCCCAAGGGGTTCCACGACGGCTGCGGGAACCCATGGTCCAATAGCCAGGCCAGGCTTTGACACAACGTTTGGCCGCACGGGCGTTTCCGAAAGGCAGGTAGTGGCGGTGGTTCGCTGTAGACCTCTTCAAAACTAAATACAAGGACAGCCAGCCCCTTTCCAGAAAGGCGGGAGTGGGGCTCAGCGCCGAGCCAAGAAATCTGCGCGGACCTCAAGATTTGTGTTGCCCGTCGGGGGATGGGGGACGGGTCCATCCAGACCCCGGTCACTCAGGCTCTGCAGAATCCTGCAGGATCCTGCAAGATCCTGCAAGATCCTGCAGGATCCTGCACCCAAGCCCGGGCCAGTGCGACCCTGCGCTCCGGCTGACCCCTGGTCTGCACCGACCCCCGTCATTCGGGAATGGACAGACCCCCCTTTAGTAAAACGTGGTTCAGTGAAAACGACCTGAGGCCCAAACCTGGCGGGCGCAAGCCTGGAAAATAACGGCCACGGCGCCCTCTCGAGAACCGAAAACGGACAATTCACTAATCGACGTGTCACTGTTGGGGGTTCTGTCCACATGCGAACCCTACCCCTACCCCCCACGACTTCTGAGGGGGAGGGGGAGGTTCACTTCGTGCGGGAGCTCCCGAGCGAAGTGAACCCCACCCTCCCCCTCAGAAATCGTGGGGGGTAGGGGTAGGGTTCGCATCTGGCCCCCTAGTCACGTGAGCCCTGAGCTCAGGCTGCCAAGTCTCCTCCGGCTCCTGCCCCATCTCCTCCGCAAATCGCCCTCCGCAGCCCCTCCGCGCTCCCGCCTGCCCGAACCTCTCGCCGCCGCGCTCCTTCCCCTAACCCTGCCTCCTTCCCTGCCCAACTAAAGCGAATCCAGGACGAGGATAAAATCAGAGAATAAATAAAGAATATGTGAGATGTGGCGGCTCTGGAGGATGTCTCGGGCGCCGCGGCCTTCTCAGAGCACGCTCTGAGAGCGATCCGGAACGCACTGGAACGGATTTATCCTCGTCCTAGCCCCGTCCGACAACTCCCCATCACGCAGGATCAGTCAGCATCCAACAGGGAAACAGGTTCGACTCAAGATGTGCGTGAGATCGGGCCGCATCGGGACGGAGTCGAAATCGAATCGAATCAGCCGCGCCGCGATGAACAACCAAAGGCAAGCATCGGGCCGCATCGATGTGTCAGAATATCGGTATCGGATCGGGCTCAGCTGGAATCAAGATCGAACAAGATCCACCGCAGCGAAATCGATCATGCTTCTGTCATCCTCCCTCGCTCACCATCCCATCTCTGCATGCCTCCTGAACCCCGAGAGCCGACACGGCCCAGTCCTCCATCGTCCTGGCCTCAGTGTCCAGGGCGTTGTCCAAGTTCCTCGCCGCGTCATTGAGGTGGCCCGCGTAGAGGTTGGTATCCATTTTGAGCTCCTCTGGACTCAGCCGAAAAAGAAGAATGAGACACGGGCTCGAAACAGCTCGAAGGAGCCGCCGGCTCTCGATGTCTGCCACCGCGCCGTCCTGCTTAAACTGCGTGTTCCCCCCCGTTCAAAACGTGAGCAACAACAACAACAACAACAACAACAACAACAATCATAGAAAGACTGCTCGCTCCGATCTGCTCGCGTGCCATTCAACACGTATTTCGTGCAGCACCTAAGGCAGTGGAAGAGAGGACAGCTGGAAGGAAAGGACAAGGAGGAGAGAGGAGGATGGAGCACGAGATAGAGTAGCAGGGGGGGGGCTAAGAGAAGAAAACACGTGACAGAACCAGACGGGCAGAACGGGCGGGTAGACCCTAACAGGAGGGCCCAGGCGGCCAGGTCGAGCAGGCGGGTTGCTGAAGCGTGCGTCCTGCATGAATCGCGAGGAAGCCTTGGCCGACAGCGCGATTCCAAAATCAATCTCGTGAGGAAATCTAAAACGAGACCGTGATTCCTGAGTGTCGAGGGCGCGGCGCCTGAATCGATTGCGAGGAAGTATCAGGCGAGAACGCATTACGAAGAAGTCCCTAGCGAGAGCGCGATTCTACAATAAATTGCAAAGAAATCACAGGTGGGAACCGGTGTTGTAGTAAACCGGGGGCCAGGGGCATAGTTTGAGCAGAAAAATGTCCTCCGGTCAGCGACCCCTGGGAGGGGCACTAAATTAGAACAACATGCATGTTTCGCGAATGTGTGAGTCCTACATAATTCGCCCGGAAATGTCGGGCGAGAGCGCGATTCCTAAGTAAATGATGAGGAAGTCCCAAGCGAAGGCGCGATTCCTGAATGGCGAGGGCGTGGCGCCTAAATTGCGAGGAACTCATAGGCGAGAGCGCGGTTCTTGTAAATTTAAATTGAAAGAGAGTCCCAAACGAGAGCGCGATTCCTCGGTAACTGGCAAAAAATATCAAGCGGGAACCGCTGTTGTTGTAAACTGGGGGCCAGGGGCATAGTTTGAGGAGGAAGATGTTCCTCTCATAAAGAACAAGGAGCGAGCCCTGGGAGGGGCATTTCAATTTAAAAAGCACATGTTACTGGAGGGGTGATCAGCATCAGTCATTATTTTGTAGTGACAAGCCCACCAAAAACAACAACAACAACAACAACAACAACAACAACAACAACAACAATCATTTTACCCGAACGCTCAGTGTTCTCACCAGTGCCAGGGTTTTCATGCGACGCGAGACAATACCCCCACTTCGTGGGGGGGCAGTTCAAGCTCTACCAAATATCCAAACGACTCTTCGCGACCACCCAAACCCAGCTTCCCGCCCTATGACGTTGGGACACTTCACTTCGTGGCGTGCGGACGACCGTGGCTACTACACTGGCGTGGGGTACACACCCACAGAACTTGGTCACTTATTCGGGGCGCGCGTGTGCCCAGCATCCTGCAATTGTGACATACAATACATGACACAGACAGACAGAGAGAGAGACAGAGAGCAGACAGAGAGAGAGACAGAGAGAGCGGAGTTGGTCACATTTTTGGGGCAAGTTCCTGAGATCGTCGTGTTTTTTGTTGGTCTTGCGCGCGCGAATGTCCACTTTACTTTTTTTTGCAAGGGATGTTGAAATTTGATTATGTAAGAACAAGAAAAAGTAGCTCGCGCGAGCTTATGTAACATAAATGTTGAAAAACCATTGGTTTTGTGGGAGTCGGACAGCGCGCGCGGGATGAAATTTGGACATTTTTTTTTGAAAAACCATTGGCTTTTTGATGTTTTTATGTTGAAATCGTTACGAAACCTAAGGTTCTGGAAGGATTTCGTCTTGCGCGCGCGAATGTCCACTTTACCTTATTTTTTGCAAGGGATTATTGAAATTTGATTATGTTAGAACAAGAAAAAGTAGCTCGCGCGAGCTCATGTAACATAAATGTTGAAAAACCATTGGTTTTGTGGGATTCGGACAGCGCGCGCGGAAGGACATTTTGACAATTTTTTCTTAAAAAACCATTGGGTTTTTGATGTTTTTATGTTAAAATCGCTACGAAACCTAAGGTTTTGGAAGGATTTCGTCTTGCGCGCACGAATGTCCACTTTACCTTATTTTTTGCAAGGGATTCTTGCAATTTGATCAAGTAAGAACAAGAATTTTCATTTTATGATGTTTTTTGCAAGGGAAAACGAGCGTCAACAAAACAACCGGATCCGGTACCAATCGTTTTGCCTGAGACTTCCTCACGAAAATGATGAAAATGTGGCTGCGGCCTAGGCGCGGCGGGGGGGTCGTGCACCAGGGGCCCCAACAATAATTATTCTTAAGAAGAAATAATGTTCAACAACAACAACAACAACAACAACAAAAACGACGACAACGACAACGACAACGACAACGACAACGACGACGACGACGACGACAACAACAACGGCAACGACAACGACAACAACAACAACAACAACAACAACAATCAGTTGAAGACTGTCCGCTCTTTTGTGCTCGAGTGTCATCCAACGCGTATTTCCCAAACCTTCCATAACCGCCCTCCTCGTCTTCGGTCGTGCCCTTTTGGGGAATATATATATATATATATGTATAGATATAGATAGATAGATAGATAGATAGATACACATATGTGGATTCCCTGCAGGCCGGGCCCCAGCAAGCGGCGGGGCGGCCGCGGACCGTCGGCCTGGCCAGCGGCAGCGCTGATCGGCGGCAACCCGACCCCAAGAGGGACGGACAGGGGACCGACCACAACGACGACGACGACGAGCGAAAGCGAGAGCGAGAGCGACAGCGAGAGCAGGGTCCCGAAGGGCAGGAAGGGGGCCACGAAAGGCGACAGCGAACCCACGAAGGGCGGGGGCCACGAAGGGATGATAATACGGGGCCACAAGAGGGCAACGACGGGGCCACTGAGGGTAGCAACGGGGCCACGTAGGACAGCGAGGGGACCACAAAGGGCGACAACGGGGCCACGAAGGGCAGCGAGGAGGCCACGAAGGGCGCGAACGAGCAGGGGCCACGAAAGGCATACGTATATTGGGCCGCAATGGGCAACGACGGGGCCACTGAGGGCAGCAACCGGGCCACGAAGCGCAGCGAAGAGGTCACGAAGGGCGACAGCGGGGCCACGAAGCGCATGCATATGGGGCCACGAAGGGCGCGAACGAGCGGGGGCCACGAAGGGCATACATACATGGGGCCACGAAGGGCAGCGAGAAGGGCCACGAAGGGCTGCAACGGGGGCCACGAACGGCAGCGAGGGGGCTACGAAGGGATGACACGGGGCCACGCGGGACGAGGGGGCCACGAAGGGCTGCAACGGGGCCACTGAGGGCAGCGAGTGGGCCACGAAGAGCTGCAACGGGGACACGACGGGCAGCGAGGGGGCCACGCAGGGCTGCGACGGGGCCACGAAGAGCAACGATGGGGGCTACGAAGGGATGCAATGGGCCCAGGAAGGGCAGCGAGGGGGCCACGAAGGGCTGCAACGGGGCCACGAAGGGCAGCGAGGGGGCCACGAAAGGCTGCAACAGGGCCACGAAGGGCAGCGAGATCCCGATTCCTAAGTCAGCTGCGAGGGAGTCACAAGCGTGAGCGCGACCCCTGGGTGCCTGAATATCGGGAGCGCGGCGCTTGAGAAAATCGCTGGAAATTCCAACGCAAGAGCGCGATTGTTGAGTAAATTGCAAGCAAGTCTCTAGCGAGAGAACGACTCCAGAGCGCCGAGAGAGCGAATCCGAAAGAAATTGTAAGAATGTCCCAAGCGAGAGCGCGATTCCTGGGTAAAACGCGAGGACGTCTCAGGGGGGAGCGGGGGTTCTGGCGAAAGTGTTAGGAAATATCAGGCGGGAGCCGTTGTTGTAAGCCGGGGGTCAACAACGCAGTTTGAACGTTTGAGCCTAGTGAAGTTCCCTTGTTAAAAGCTAGGTGCGAGCCCTAGAGGAAACACTTCAACTGAAAAAACACCATGGCTACCGGAGAGGGCGGGATCAACTCAAATTATGCTTCAATAGTGAGAATTCAACGACTCCCGTCTGAGACTTCCGCACATATGATCCAAAAATCGCGCTCTCGCGCGGGACTTCCTCAAAGTGCATGCAGGAATCGCGCTCTCGCGTCATACCGCCCCGCGATGTATTCAGACGCCGCGCCCTCGAGTCTCAGGGATCACGCTCTCGCTTTGGCCTTTCTGGCGATTCACTTGGGAATCGGGCTATCGTTTGAGACTTCCCCGCCATTCATACAGCACTCGCCTTTCAGCAACCCGCCTTCTCGACCTGGCCGCTTGGGCATGCCTTCCCGACCCGCCCGCTGGAAACTGCCCGCCCGATCAGCCCGTCTGGTTCTGCCACGTTCGTTCTGCTCCCAGCCCCCTTCCTGCAAATTCCTCTCTTGCTCCTTTTCCACGCCCCCTCCATCCGTGTTCTGGTCCCCTGTTTTAAGGGCTGCGCTAAATGCACGTGGCAGGTAAGGAAGATATACCCCCAAGAGGGCACGATCGAAGACGAAGAGGGCGGGTACCGAGGGTTCGGGAAATACGCGGCGTCGAATGGCACGCGAGCGGATAGGAACGAGCTGTTTTAAAATGAGGTTTGGGTTTCTGGTGTTGGTGTTCATGTTGGTGCTGCTGTTGCTGGTGCTGTTGCTGCCGTTGGTGTTGTGGTTGTTGTTGAACTCCCACGACTGAAAAATAATTATTGTTGATCCATCCCCTCTGGGAACATATGTGTTTTCAGATTGAAGCGCCCTTCCCGGGGACCGCACCCTGTTTCCCTAGTAAGGAAAATCTGCGTCCTCAAACTGCGGTGTTGGGCCCCGAACTACAGCAACAACGGCTCTCGCCTGATACTTCCTCACAATGTATTCCCGGATCGCGCTCTCGCGCAGGGCTTCCTCGCAATGGATTCAGGAATCTCGCTTTCGCGTGGGACTTCCTCGCAATTGATTCAAAGCCGCGCCCTCGACATTCAGGAATCGCGCTCTCGCTATGGA